TTAAAGTGTTTTTTTTTTTTTTTTTTTTTTTTTCTTACGCAAAATTCACTGGTGTATAGCCAGCTTTAGATGGTGCTACATGCTCTAGGTGTGTCTATGCATGTTACCCTTAGGGCTTAGGTGCACTGCAATACGGTAACTGGAGTTACCACAGCAAAAAGTAATGCACTGTATATGTGCATTGCACTTATTTTTAATTGATTCCAACGCACATACTGTGTAGCAAATGCACTGTTCATTGTAAGGTGCTGCCTTTAAAAAAAAAAAAAAGGGGTTCAGGGCCTCTTTTTTTGTTTCCTTTTGTGTGTGCGTTGACAGCCTGTTCAAAATGTGCACATGTGGTGGTGTGATCATTGTATGTATTTCTGCGCTCTCGTAATGCTGTAGATTTCTCAGTTAGCTTTTCTTCCCATTGCGCATTATTTGTGATATATTTATCTACATCTTTTTTTTTTTCTTCTCTTAAACAGGTGAAATATTTTGGTCGCGATCCGACTGATGGGAGAATGAGATTGTCTAGAAAAATTCTTCAGACTCCAGCTAGTCCTGTGATCCAAACTGTCAGTGACAGAAATAGTATTACTATGGGAAGTGGTGACTCTTCAACTTAAAGCAGACCCAGAGACCTCAGCTGCTGTTGGTATAAATGGACAGTTTGTATTCTGTATGTATATTGTGTATATAATCTCTTTTAAATCACTGCTAAATCTATTAAATGGTTTGTACTTAATTTTTACATGTGCGTTTTGTTTTGGCTTTTCTTTCTCGAGTTTTCAGGCGATGGGATCATAAATGATCAATCCCACAGCATAGTAGTACAATCAGTGCTACAGCAACACAAAAGTACATGGTTCGGTCCCAGTGAAAGTAAAACTGGGCAATTCACCAAAAGCAAATGATGAGGAAAATGCATAGAGATTACGTCAGCTACATGTCAAAAATCCAGACAATATAGGCAGCTGAAGTCGTATGCAGATCTGCAATTTCCATGTAAACAATAATCTTGGCCTTACCCTCTCCTGCCTTTTGCGGCCTTAAATATTGGCCAGTGAGGCCTCCCATCAATTTAAACAACCAATAGGTGAATGGGTGGGGACAAGTTTGACTTAAAGGAGAACTATGGGGTTAAGGCTTTTCCCCATAGTTCTCCTTAGGGTAACGAGAGGACACAAACTAGCGTCCTCCCATAACCCTAGGCTCAGTATACCGCGAGCAGCAGCTCGCGGTATACTGAGACGCCGCAATATATCGCGAGCAGCTGCTCGCGGTATACTGAGGCGCCGCCGCTGAAGCGGATCCCGACAATTGTCCCGGGATCCGCCCAGCTGCGTGACTGACAGCTGGCTCTGCCTAGCTAGAGGCAACTACTTGAGCCTTGGGGCCATTTTCCTCCTAGATCACCTTGAGCCCCAGCACATTTTTTTGCTTTCTTTCGGCGATATCTTGGTTTGGCACATTATATCTTTTAGGTCCACCCTCAGTCTACCCTAACATATTGTAAAACACATGGAGCAAATTGCTCTCTTGTTAAATTTTCAGCTGTAAGAAGCATTTGATCCATGTGAACTTCAAGGGCAAGTCTCTTTGGACCAGCTCATGACAACATCATGAAAGTAGGCTTTAACTCCCTTTAACTAAAAATCACATCAGCCTACAGCTCTGCATGCTGATATGAAATCATCTTACATTCATTAAACAAACATATTTTTATTTTACTTACAATTTATTGTATAAATCCAGGAAGTAAAGGTAGATCTAGTAACCTGCCCTTAGTAAACATGGCCACTGTCAGAAGAATGGGGAGGAAAAGAAAAATAAGGTATGCAGAGAATACAAAGCCGGCTATTATCTAGAAGTGTGTGTTTGTAGATTGTCATTACTAAACATTTCTAAAGGTGTCTTTGCTGTTATTTTAAAGATATGGGTAAAGGTCCGCTTTGAAGTACACCTAGCAGAAAAGCACTTCCTTATCTCAGTTGTTCTCGATCATTGTCACAGGTAGTACTGAAGCTCAACAGTCAGGCAAACTAGTGTTTTCATTAAGAGAATTCCACAATGACAGCCTGCGTGTTAGGTTTCTGTTAATGGATTGACTGCATTGTATGTAATGACTGTTTGATAGATGAGAAGAATTTATAGAATGTCATTTTTCTAACACAAAACACCTTGCAGGGTGTTTCCTACTTTTGAGGGAATGTAGTTTTTTTTTTTAAAAGCCGTGAACCGTGAAATCACAGCACACAAAAACGTGCACAAGGGTGCTTGGTCCTTCAATAAAGAAGGGACCATACTTTGCCGACCCCCCGGGGCGCAAGGCTCCTGACGGGGGTTGAGTCTGTTGGTCCACCAGCCCGAAGGCCGGTGGACCCCGATCCTTTGGGGACCTGACGGAACAGGTCCCGCACAGTACTAGGTGGGGGCTCTCCCGAAGAGAGACCCCCCCCCAGGTTGGGAGGAGACGGAGAACCCTATATTAGGGCACAGAATCTACTCCCCACTAGTGATGAGCCGAACACCCCCGTGTTCGGTTCTAACTCGAACTTAGAACTAGAACTCTCTCTCTCTCTATCTCTCTCTCTCTCTGTATATCTGGATTGCTGTATATCTGGATTGCTGTATTGCTCTATTGCTCGCTTGCTATATTGCTCTCAATCTCCTTCAACACACTACACAGGGCCGCGGTGTCAGCAGCCTTATATAGTGTGCTGCAGGGACTTAGCTGTGAGACATGATTGGGCAGAGTCATCGTGACTCTGCCCAATCATGGCTCTATATTTGTACTGAGCCCTGATTGGCACAGTCTTGCACCTGACCTGCGGTCAGGTGCAGGACTGTAGCCAATTGCCGCTTCGGATGGCGCAGTGCATTGTCGGATGTGCCGCGGTCATCCCATAATGTTCGGTGTTCGGCGAACGCTCGAACATGCTATGTTCGAGTCGAGCATAGGTTCGACTCGAACGCGAAGCTCATCCCTACTCCCCACATCGGGAAAAGGCCCCGAAGGAACCTACACCCTCCGCATCTGTGGGTCAAAATTTAAAATAAAAAAGTGCCAAATCGTGCATATAGTGCTTAAATAAAGCTAAAGTGCCAGTGCACCACTCTGACAGGCCTTAGGGTCCGGAGTGCAAAAATATTGCCCCAGACTAGTCATAAGGCCTGTCACGGAGGCGAAGTGCAGAAAAATGCAATATGGTGTTGTGTCCTAGTGCACAGTGAATTACTTAGGGGGTCCCATACCCTAGTGATTTTCTGATGCACCCCTGGGACACCACCCCCAGGGGGCACAACACCACAGGCTTCTGCCGCCCCCAACCCTCCAGCCAGACCAAGCTTCATCTGTTCAGTCAGAAAGCCTGTACCGGGCTGTTCCCCTCTCACAGGAAGCAACCCAGCACGCTCTTTCACTCCAGCAAGTACTAAGTAACCATCCCCCGCAAGGACGGTTCTTTTCCCCACCAAAAACTCATAAGAACAGATACTACACTTGATCTTAGCCAAAAGGCAGAGAAGCGATTTGAGGGAATGTAGTACCCATAGAGCCCCCTAGATGGGGATAGTGGGCCTTGACTATATACAGTATATTCTAGCATGGGAAGGGCTAGAGGTCCTGTGGACTCACCATGTGGAGACTAGACGATTAGTGAGGCTCTCCTCTCTCAGGAGGGGCCTATTGGGCTGTGGGCCTGCCATGGAAGATTCTGGAAGGCCACAATATCCCTCCTCAACCAAATGATACCAGTATATTCAACACTCCACTTTGTTGTAAGGAGTACTACGCCACATGTTTGGAACGGTTTCCTGCCATTCCCTGTTGGAAGAAGGATCCTAGTATACAATTATGTGAACTGCTCTTATTTATTTGGAAAAAGAGTTCAAATGCAGAACAAGTGTAATGTTTGCTGAGTCCTATGCATGTGAAGTAGGTGAATGTGCTGCAGGCAACCAGTAAGATTCCTACCAAAACCAATACCTGGGGTAATGTATTAGCAGCGGGTTTTGGCCAGGAGTGGTGGCAGTTTAAGAGCACAGGGCTGCTCCTTGGCGGTGGCTGGTAGCTTTCTCTGGGTGCACCACCTGGACTGCAGAAAACATATAGCGATGGCGTGGTGTGGTGGCAACCGCCACTGCTGCATTGAACCTGGAACCCCGTGCACACTGAGGCCTCGAGAGCAAAAGTGTAAATGTACTGCCCAGGGAAGCAGAAGTTTTTAATGGAAACTGGTGAGATGAGAGAACCCTGAGGGTACCGTCCCTGCAAAGCTATTTGGCCCCGGGACTGGAGAACTGGCTTTATAACTCCAGTCGGCAGGTGAGTCTTTGGTCACCTCTTACAGGCAGTCATAGGTAACTCCTATATATTTGATTACAGAATGATGATAAACATTAGCGTTTGGGGGAACAAAGAAAAGAGGGTTTTTGTCTAGTAGGTGCCACATCCCATTATATTAACACCCAAGAAGAATGTACACACTTTTAGGCACCCACAAAAACCAGATACTTTAAATTGCATCCATTTTTATTGAACATATACTCCACTATAAAACCATAAAAAGAGACAGAATACATCAATTAAACACTGCTCCCACCGACCATTAACCTCATTACATAATACCATACCAGAAAATGACTTCCTCCCGTCTTGGACAGGCAATTGTATAACTACTATCACATTTCTATACATTATTACATTATACCATAATGCCATTAAACCCAGTCTAGTTACTTGGATGGGATTCAACTCGGCTCAACACATTTCTCGGATGAGTCCACTTCATCAGGAGCAAAGAATGAGGCATGCTGGAAAAACGTACAATTGTGTATAAATATAATGAAATCCAATATATAGTACAATATATACAGTATACAGCAAGTCCCCTACTTACATTCATGTTACAAACTTTCAAAGATGCAAACGTGCATTTGCATGTCCGGTCACTCAAGTTAGTTCATTGTCTGGCATAAATTGTTACATGCATGTGCATTTTACTGTTTAGAGTACAGTAGTACAGTATCTTTATTTTAAGCCAAGGATGTGTAAAAGCAGCAGAGATGTAGCTGGGTACCTAGGCTAAATTTGCTAGATTTACAAACTGGACTTACGAACGTGCTCTCAGAACAGAATCCGTACATATATAGGGGACTTAGTGTGTATGTGTATATATATATTTATATATATATATCCTAATAGGTTGGACTTGATGGACTAATGTCTTTATTCAACCTCAAATACTATGTATGTAACTATGTATGTAACTATATATATACACACACACTATTGTCAAAAGTATTGGGACACCCCTCCACATCATTGGATTCAGGTGTTCCAATCACCTCCATGGCCACAGGTGTATAAAATCAAGCACCTAGGCATGCAGACGCTTCTACAAACATTTGTGAAAGAATGGGTCCATCTCAGGAGCTCAGTGAATTCAAGAGGGGTACCGTGATAGGTTGCCACCTGTGCAATAAGTCCATCCGTGAAATGTCATTGCTACTAAATATTCCACAGTCACCTGTTAGTGGTATTATAACAAAGTGGAAGCAACTGGGAACAACAGCAAGTCAGCCACAAAGTAGTACACCATGTAAAATAACAGAGCGGGGTCAGCGCATGCTGAACTGCGCAGAAGTCACCAACTGTCTGCAGAGTCAATGGCTACAGACCTCCAAACTTCTTGTGGCCTTCAGATTGGCACAGCAACAGTGCGTAGAGAGCTTAGTGGAATGGGTTTCCATGGCCGAGCAGCTGCACCCAAGCCTTACATCACCAGGTGCAATTGAAAGCCTTGGATGCAGTGGTGTAAAGCACGCCGCCACTTGACTCTAGAGAAGTGGAGATGTGTACTCTGGAGTGACATTATTTTTGCACGTTTATATGCGCTGGTTCAGCGTTTTTGCACATTTGGCACATTTTTATATGCGTGAAGACACATATTTTGACTGGCCGCTTAAGAAACATTGCGGTCAATGGACAAACGCGCACGAAAATGCGCAACATGCTTCTGCTGTGCATTTCCACTGAAGTCTATGGGGGAAAAAAACGAGCTTAACTAGCTCCGGGCCGGCCGTAGTAAAAAAACGGCCGGCCAGGAGCTCTCTCACAAAAGAAGCTTATGTACATTTATTTTGCGCTTGGCGGTTTCCTGCTGGCGTTTTGCTGCTCAGGTGTGAACAGGGGCCATTGAAAATAATGGCATTTCTTGTGTTGGGTGTTTTAAAAGCGCTTTTCCTACTGCTCAAAATTGCCTAGGTGTGAACCAGAACTTAATGGACAAAGTTCCCTTTTAGCGCCCTTATTCTTTTGTGCCTGCCCCTGGAAATATTTTTAGTGGTTCATTTTTGCCTATAACCCTTCCCATCACAGATGTTCACTGAACCTTAGGTTGGGCACAAGTGAACCTTTGTGAATGGAGATATGGAAGCTGCTTCCTGTAAAAGAAGACCCCTAGTACTTACCTCTCCGATCTTGGGTGATGTCGAACTTCACTGTCTTCAAGATCTTTGGCAGCACACTTGCTTACTGTAACACAGGGGTCCGGGAAAGGGGCATCTGACACACCAGGAAATGTGGATTTTGCCAGAGGCCATGGCTCTTGAAGACAACGACATGACGGCTCACCATGCCAGGGAGGTAAGTATTAAAAGTCTTTTTGCACAAAAGTTTAGTTAGGTTTTTTTGTTTTTGGGCGACAGTCTCTCTAAAGTGGAACTTTAAAATAAATAATTGGTACCCTGCATCAGTGGCGTAACAACCGAGGGCAGCCAGTGCGACTGCCCCGGGTGCAGAGCTGGGAGGGTGGGGGCGCCGGGCAGTGACAAGTGAGCCCGGCGAATGAAAGATTTACGTGGGGCTGCCCTGGCAGGCAATCATGGGGCTGCCCTGGGGGCCTCAGGCGTGAGGACCCAGCGCGCAGCAGCTTCACATTGCAGAGAGAGAGACCGCGGCTCTGTGATAAGGTGATTCATATTTTTTTCTTGGTCTTCCCCTTGCTTCCTCCGGTCATAGTTACATAGTATTTGAGGTTGAATAAAGACGTAAGTCCATCAACCTATAGCGTGTGTGCATTTATGTTTGAGCAGGTGTGAGACATTAGCCAGGAGTACAGTGTCAGATGGCTGAGGAGACTTTCTGCCATTCCAGAACACAGAATAGCTGAACTTCAAAGTTACAACTATTCTGTGTTCTATTACAACACACCAGTTAGTTCTTCTGGGTTCATCAGGTATCAACTGAAGAGTTTATATGAGGACCGGGACCAAACGGCTTAGTGATTTACTGCATGTTTAAAAATGTATAAAGCGGCATTTGTTACAAAACTCGCCCTATCACCGGCTCTCTCCTCTGCAAACTTACTTCTCCAAAATCCAGCACCGCTAAGGTTGTTTTGTTTTGAGGGAAAAATCGACATTATAATAATTTTCCTATTAATAACATTGGCATTAAGTCTTGTTTTTGCCTGCCAGGCCAGTAAGGTGCCTTACAGGTGGCAATCCTAAGCAACATTGGTCTCCCAGGTTGGGGAAGTGGCGGAAGCTGGAGTTTCACTTTATGGGCTCATGCCCACAGGTTGCTGAACCCATACAACAAGGATAGGCAAACCAAACTCTGGCCCTTCATTTGTGCTGGAACTACAAATCCCACGAGGCATTGCAAGATTATCACTGCCACAGACATGATGGGACTTGTAGTTTCACCACAGCTGGAGGGCCAGCGTTTGCCCACCCCCACCCCTGCCATGCAATGTAAATGCTGGTGTATTTTGCAGCACCAGGTTGCCACAGGTGCTGTGTACAGCCTCCCATATAAGTGAATGGCTGTTTGTGTGTATACCCCAACACTTACATACAGTCGTATATGTATACGGACGTAAATCCCTGGACTTAGGAAACCTGCATCCAAGGAATTACATACGCATGTGTAGCAGTATGCAATTACTGGCGTTTACTTGCCTACAGTAACTGACTTCTAGGGATGTGGCTGTCTTTGGGAGGAGAACATTCCGGGATTTGTATTGTATGGGCTCAGCCAAATAAAGATGACTTGGAGAGATAGTGTTACGTAACCTATGAGTCCATGACCAGACAGCAGTCATCAGAGGAGCAGTGTCAGGGTCATCCAGCCCCCCAGCTGTGGTGAAACTACAAATCCCATGACGCATCTGACTCTGGGAGCCCTGCCTATGGCTGTGAGAAAATTGCAATGCCTCAAGGGATTTGTAGTTCAACAACAGATGAAGGGCAGGAGTTTGCTCACCTCTGCCCTATCGTTACTGATCTTACAATATTTTTTAATAACGTATAATCCACGTATCAGCCCACACAACTGCTGTGTAAAGGTGAGAACGAAGTTCTCTTTAACAACTCTCCCCACACCAAAGATGGCCGCTGCTTTCCCCTGTTCCGCTAGCTGCGGAGACTGACACCGCCCCCTGCCGGCGCTCGCCGTTTCGCGGAAGTCACAGGCGACAATATTGGCCCCCGAGCGACGCCGTAGCCCCTGCCAAGCCAGCCCGGCCAACCTGTTCCATTTCTCGCTGGAGGAAGAGAAAGGAGAGAATCGGGTTACAAGATGGCGGCTGTGTGATCTGCTAGCAGGTCGGAGGAGGCTGGAGAAGGAGATCGGGGAGAAGAGAAGCCAGCCGAGGAATCGTCCGCTCTGATACCATCAGCCATGATCGGCGGCGGGGGGAGCCGGGAATAGAGCGCTGCCGGGTGGAGAAGAGTGCGCCATCATGTCTGACACCAGGCGGAGGGTGAAGGTCTACACTCTGAACGAGGACCGCCAATGGGACGACCGGGGCACCGGCCATGTGTCGTCCACCTACGTGGACAGGCTGAAGGGGATGTCTCTGCTGGTCCGGGCTGAGTCTGACGGTGAGGAAAGGGCTATCTACACTAGTACCGGGTGAAGAGGGTTTTTGAGTTGGGTAACTACAAGTCCCAGTGTGCGTTGGGCCTCCTGGCTGCTAGGCTTAGGAACTAAAAGGCCCAGCGTGCCTTGGGGCCCTCTAGGAGTGAGGTGCCACAAATGGCAGCGTGCTCTAGATCTCCTGGCTGCTAAACTAAGGGACTGAAAAACCCAGTGTGCCATGGGGGCCCCCCAGCACTGAGGAACCACAAGTTCCAGGGTGCTCTAGGGCCCCTCTAGCTGCTGAAGTTAAGGAGCCACAGGTTCTAGCAAGTCTTTGGGTCCCATGGCTGCTGAGCTTTAGAACCATAAGACCCAGTGTGCTCTGGGGCCACAAATCCAACTTGGTATGGTGCCCTCCAGTACTGAGGAACTACAAGTCCCAGGGTGTTCTTAAGACCCCTAGCTGCTGAGTGAGGAGTCATAAACTCCAAGGTGCTATGGGGCCCTCCAGTTGCTGAGCTCAGGATCCAAAAGATCCAGCGACCTTAAAGCCCTTCAGCTGCTGAGTCAGGAGCCATAAACTCCAAGGTGCTATGGGGCCCTCCAGTTGCTGAGCTCAGGAGCCAAAAGATCCAGCGTACCATAAGGCCCTCCAGCTGCTGAGCTGAGGAACCAAAGGTCTAGGTTTCCCTGGGCCACCCATGGCTGCTGAGCTGAGGAACCAAAAGTCCTGGGGCTCTCTAACTGCTGGGCTGAGATCTGAAAGTTGTGTTCCCTGGGTCTCCTGACTGCTGAGCTGAGGAACCAAAAGTCCCAGTGAGCCCTGGGGTCCTTAGCGCACGCCCTACCTGGGTGTTAAGGAACAAGAACTCCCAGCATGTTCAGAACCCACTAGTTGCTGAGGAACTCGCATTTCAGCATATACTGGTTCCCTCTGTGTTCTAAGTATTTATTGCCCCGGGGGTACCCTCTAGGCATGGAAATAACTGTAAAGCCAGCTGGCTACTGAGGGCCGGAAAGCCAAAGTGTCCTTGAGTGCCCATAGGCTGCTGAGAAGCCTGAAGCCTAGACATGCCCAAGGTCCTCAGGGTTCTGTTACATGAGAAACCGTGCCATGTTTTGGGGCCCTCCAGCTGTTGAGGATCTACAGATACCACGAATGGTCTTTCTATCAATAATCGATCGGTTGATGGGAACCCAGCGATTTTGTCTCGACGGGTGAGGCTGGCAAAATCGTTTTCTAATCGTCCGAAAATGGATGGATTAGTGGCGTTTTTGTATGAAAAAGATTGCAGCATGAACACTGCACGTGCCCAAACGAAAATCCGTTCTGCCGATCGCCGAAATTCGGTGAGTTAGTATTGCTAACGAACCATTGACGAATCGACATTGGTCTGTGTGTGACGGGGTATTTGAGCTAGAATCCAAAAAGGGTTCTTGGCAGCAACAAAAAATCCTGAACGTAAATCGCAGTGTCTATGGCCAGCTTTGCACTGGGCGTGTTTTCAACATAACTATTTTTTCCTTTTTCTTTCTTTTGAAGCTTGTTTGTGACTATGAGCTCTTCTCCATACTGGATAAAACAAATGGTGCCCTTGTCCTGGCGTGCCATTACTTGAACATTGCTTCCTCATCACTTGGCCCGTTGGTTTGCTCTAAAACGGCCCTTCTTTTGGAGGTTGTGGTTTGTTAGGGGGGTGCCTATCCATGCACGTTGGAGGGGTGCAGGGAAGAGCCTCTCTACGGGAGCACTGTGCTAAATGTGCCACTGTTCCCCAAAATGTACTCCATTCCTCCAGTGTGTTTAAAGTGGTACTGCATTCTAAGTGTGGTAACACTGATTTTTTTTTGGGGTGCCTGTCCTCATCTCCCTCCACCGACATCTTCCCTGACCCTCCTCCACCGACATCTTCCCTTGTCAGCCCAGACCCCAGGCCTGAAGCTGAAGATTTTGAGACCAGACTATACAGTGAGGAGGAAGGTAAGTATAAGGCCTGGTTCACACCTGTACACCTGTCAACGCTCTACAAAACGCTCAAACATGAAAATCCCATTGTTTTCTATGGGTATGGTTCACACCTTGCCGTATTTCAGCCCGTCTGAACGCGCTACCAAACGGCCTATGCCTGAACAGGTACATGAGCTTCTTTGCGGCGTTTTTGTAGCGAGTTTCCACTTGGATACAGCCAAGTAGCCCTCGGAAACGCGCATATTCGATACGCATAGGTGTGAACAGAGCCTAAGGGTCCGTTTACACTCTGAGGTGACTGGTGTGTTTCATTACCTGATCGATGCAAGTCACCACAAAGGACACGTGGGCAATATTTGTTTTCTATGTGCCCTGTTCACAACACAATGATGGTGTGATGTGCTTAAAAATGGAGATATGCTGTATGTTTCCGCAGTGCCCTGGATGGCACCGGGTTCACCACATCACACTGCTCCCTCATAGCATGGCAAAACTGATAGTGGCTTTCACACTAAGGCCCCTTTCACATGGCTGGTCCGATTGGGTTCACCTGTCGGATTTTTAAGTGGGCCCGATCGGATGCCCAATGTAAGTCTATGGGCAGCCTTGTGTGCGTTTACACCCGGTTACCCCGGGCGCCGTCCAGGTCTGGAAAAACAAACAGAACAGCGTTCCTTTTCGTCTGAACTGATCGTGCCGGATCGGGAGTAACACACATGTCCATTAACATCCGATTCCCTATAGAGCAACATGGGGTCTGTCCATTTCAGTTGTGACATCTGCTCCTTACTGCTCTGATCAGGATCAGCCCGTGTGAAAGGGGCGTAAAACAGCATTTTGCATGCATGGCCGTGTGAAGGGCCCTGAGGCCCCGTTCACACTAGCGTGAGGTGTTGCGCATCTGCAGTCGCTCTACAATTCATGGCAGTGTAAATCACATTATTCTCTATGGTGCCCGTTTACACCTCGGCAGCACAATTTTTGGAAAGATGATGGCGCTACATAGTGTGTCTTTAGCTCCCTTAGGCTTCAATGGCAGTGCAGGAAAAACACGCGTAACATACATTTTGTCTATTTCTAGAAGGTATACCTGGAAGGAAAGCACTTTCTAATTAGCTGATGGTGGAGTGTTTGTGTATGTCCAGGGTGCTTACTGCAGGTATGTTCCTCATAAGTGGTCACTTGTTCTCAGTAACTGTATGAACACATGACTTTCTGTACTCCGAGATGGCTCCTGGGGGAGCCATCATGGTGCCTCGTGGTAAGTTCATTTTAGATAATTCCCCTTCTGTGTTCCTTTGGGAGCTTGCATGTGAAGCCCATGCTGTATGCATTGTACTCTGCCATCCCTCTATCCAAAATAAAGTCGGGTATACATGTTTCTATTTTCTTTGTTCAACCTTCTGGCCGAACGTAGAAAATAGAACGGTTTTCGCCTATGAACGCTTATGAGCGTTGATCGAGGAATCTCCTGCTGGTTACATTGAATACCTGCTGCTTGAATGGAATCATGTTTATTGTTAGAATTCCCTTCATTCAGGTAAGAAACGGGAAAATGTTTCCATCCCGAGCCTTTTCCTAAAAATGACTGATTAGTCCTCAGTAAGCATTAGAAAGTCGAACAAAAGTTTTCCAAAAAGGAGCATTTTTAAATGAAATTCCGCTGGTTTATGGCCGGCTTATGATGGGGGAAAACTTGAGGCTGATCCTTAAAGGAGAACTATGGGGTCAGGGCTTTTCCCCATAGTTCTCCTGAGGGTAACGGGAGGACACAAACTAGCGTCCTCCCGTCACCCAAAGCTCAGTATACCGCGAGCTACAGCTGGAGATATACTGAGACGCCGCAGCCGAGACGGATCCCGACATTACTGTTGTGATCCACCCAGCTGCGTGATTGACAGCTGGCTCTGCCTATCTAGAGACAGAGCCACCTGTACCCGCCCCCTGTCCGTTCCGCCAGTCAGCGCTGGAGGATCAGAGTGGGCAGGGGGGGGGAATCCCTACGAGGAGCCGTGAGTGACAGTCATAGCTCTCTGCAGGGACAGGATCGAGAAGTGAGCGAGCGACGGTATGTGTTCGCTCACTTCCCGATCTATTGAGCTGACGTGTGACAGTCTCATTGTCACACGTCGGCTCGAACTATGAGGCTGAGTGATTTTCACTCACCTCATAGTTCTCCTTTTAAGTAAAAAAACACGCATCCATTGTTGTATTCAAAGGATAAGGTAAGCTAAAGTTTCTGTTCTAGAGAAGTCACTTTCCTCGCCCACTGATAAGCTGACCGCACTCTGGAAGGATTTTCGTTCAAAACATTCGATAACGCCATCAGAGACCTCAGGAATGTCGTTTTATTTTAACCCCTTCATGACTGAGGCCCTTTTTCCAATTTTTGCACCCATGTTATATTCCACATTTTAGGCCTGAAAATGACGTAAAACCCCCCAACATTATATATTTTCTGAATGCCAAGACCCTATAGAATAAAATGGTGGTAGTTGAAAATTTTTATGTTGCGCAATATTAGCGCAACTCCTTATTAAACCCCAAAATTTAGTGACAAATTTAATTAAATGCCCCAAAACACAACAAATTACCAATTTTTTTAATGAAATATAAAAGATGAGGTTACAACGAGTAAAACGATACCCAACATGCCCAGTTTACAGATTGCGTGCGACCGTGAAACGGCGAAAAACTGCAGTACCCCAAAAAGTCAATAAAAGACACTTTAAAAGCCCCCACAGGTCATCAATTTAGAGATACCCCAAAATACTGGCCCTAGGATTATTGCTCTCACTCCGGCGTGCGCGGCGATACCCAACATGTGTAGCGCGTTCGTCGTTTTCATGCGTAGGCGCACCCGACGCGTGTTTACGTGGCGACGCGCGTGCTCGCGGGGGCGGGGGACTTTTAAATTTTTTTTTATTATTATTAGATTTATTTTATTTCATTTTAATTTTAAAAACTGTTCTTTTTTTTTTTTTTACTTTACTTTGACTGCTATCACATGGGGGGGCTTGCAAGCCCCCCCATGTAATAGCAGATGGTGGTGAC